CATTCTTGTCTACAAGTCCTTATTAACTGATTATGAGCTCTTCAAGGTGAGCTGAGTGCTTCCACCTCATTGACATTGCCAATAGCCTTACTGGAAGACCTACCTATGCTGCATTGATCTGCAATGGTCCTCAGGAATAGTTGTGACTGGTGTTTTGGGCTTGGTGCTCTGTGTTTGCAACAAATAATCTTCAGATTTGACCATGGTGTGTGTACTCCAATCTCCAGTGGCTTGTTGCAAAAGCCCATTGGCCAGATAGTAGTCCTTTTGGGCCCTTGACTTGGCCACACTGCCCCTCTGGTATAGGTGTCTCAGCTGCTTGGCATACAAATATCCCACCTATTACATAAACAATACCAAATGCTGCACTCACATATAACCAATATACCCCTCAATACACCACAAAGTGCCAGTACGATATTAAACATATATAAATGTGAATTCCCAATGCCGCTATACATTGAAGTAGATGTACAGTTCCAAGAAAAAGTATGTGAACCCCTTGGGATTACGTGGAGTTTTGCATGAATTGGGCATAAAAATGTGCTCTGAACATCATCTAAGTCACAACAATAGAAGAACACAGTCTGCTGAACATAATACTACACAAAACATTAGATGTTGCCCATGGTTTAATTGCACATAACATGTAAACATTCACAGTGCAGGGAGGAAAAAGTATGTGAACCTTTGAACTTAATAACTGGTTGACCCTCCTTTGGCAGCAATAACCTCAACCAAACGTTTCTGTAGTTGCAGATCAGACCTGCACAACGATCTGGAGTCATTTTGGACCACTCCTCTTCACAAAACTGTTTCAGTGTAGCAATATTCTTGGGATGTCTGGTGTGAATCGCTCTCTTAAGGTCATGCCACAGCATTTCAATCGGGTTGAGGTCAGGACTCTGACTGGGCCACTCCAGAAGGCGTATTGGAGTCAAGGTTGGCTCACTCCTGGCTCCAATTAGCTCTGGGAGAAGTCATTAAGCTAGGGCCTCACATACTTTTTCCTCCCTGCACTGGGAATGTTTACATGTTATGTGCAATTAAACCATGGCAACATCTAATGTTTGTGTAGTATTATGTTCAGCAGACTGTGTTCTTCTATTGTGAATTAGATGACGTTCAGAGCACATTTTATGCCCAATTCATGCAAAACTCCACGTAATCCCAAGGGATTCACATACTTTTTCTTGCAACTGTACAAATACCCCACCTATTATATAAATAATACCAAATGCTGCACTCCCATATAACCAATATACCCCTCAATACACCACAAAGTGCCAGTACGATATTAACATATATAAATGTGAATTCCCGATGCCGCTATACATTGAAGTAGATGTAAACGCTAAACAAATACCATTGAGTTTGCAGAAGCACTGTGGATCATAAAGAGTTGCCAAGATTATTTTTTCTATACAATCTCTGTCACTTTGGTTTCATCGTTTGCTGCATCTCAACGCTGCTGATCTATTGCAGCCTCCTTGCAGTCACCAACTATCTACATGGACTCCAGTGATGGCTGCATGACATCAGGGAGAGGGTATTGTGATGATGGCTACAATGGACCATGCCTGTATAAAGTGTGCTGAAACAGCCACTTCTAGTCTTTATTGGATACCTGAGTGTTGGAAGTCATTAAACAAGCAAAAACACCAGGTATTATTTTAATGAAAGCTGCAGAGTTAAATATATTAGAAGCAACTGGGGGAATCCATGGTGGAGAAGGATCTGGGGGTTCTGGTAGATCATAAGCTTAATAATGGCATGCAATGCCAAGCTGCGGGTTCTAAAGTGAGCAAAATCCTCTCTTGTATTAAAAGAGGTATAGACTCCAGAGAGAGAGATATCATATTACCCCGGTACAAATCATTAGTAAGACCTCATCTGGAATATGCAGTTCAGTTTTGGGCACCAATTCACAAAAAGAACATTGGGGAACTGGAGAAAGCACAGAGAAGGGCAACCAAACTGATAAGAGGCATGGAGGAGCTCAGCTATGAGGAAAGATAGGAGGAACTGAATTTATTCTCTCTTGAGAAGAGGAGATTAAGGGGGGATATGATCACCATGTATAATACATAAGGGGGGATATGATCAACATGTATAATACATAAGGGGGGATATGATCTCCATGTATAATACATAAGGGGGGATATGATCACCATGTATAATACATAAGGGGGGATATGATCTCCATGTATAATACATAAAGGGGGGATATGATCTCCATGTATAATACATAAGGGGGGATATGATCTCCATGTATAATACATAAGGGGGGATATGATCTCCATGTATAATACATAAAGGGGGATATGATCTCCATGTATAATACATAAGGGTGGATATGATCTCCATGTATAATACATAAGGGGGATATGATCTCCATGTATAATACATAAGGGGGGGTATGATCTCCATGTATAATACATAAGGGGGGATATGATCTCCATGTATAATACATAAGGGGGGATATGATCACCATGTATAATACATAAGGGGGGATATGATCTCCATGTATAATACATAAGGGGGGATATGATCTCCATGTATAATACATAAGGGGGGATATGATCTCCGTGTATAATACATAAAGGGGGATATGATCTCCATGTATAATACATAAGGGTGGATATGATCTCCATGTATAATAATACATAAGGGGGATATGATCTCCATGTATAATACATAAGGGGGGATATGATCTCCATGTATAATACATAAGGGGGATATGATCTCCATGTATAATACATAAGGGGGGGTATATGATCTCCATGTATAATACATAAGGGGGATATGATCTCCATGTATAATACATAAGGGGGGGGTTATGATCTCCATGTATAATACATAAGGGGGGATATGATCTCCATGTATAATACATAAGGGGGGATATGATCTCCATGTATAATACATAAGGGGGGATATGATCTCCATGTATAATACATAAGGGGGGATATGATCTCCATGTATAATACATAAGGGGGATATGATCTCCATGTATAATACATAAGGGGGATATGATCTCCATGTATAATACATAAGGGGGGGATATGATCTCCATGTATAAATACATAAGGGGGGATATGATACCCATGTATAATACATAAGGGGGGATATGATCTCCATGTATAATACATAAGGGGGATATGATCTCCATGTAATAATACATAAGGGGGGATATGATCTCCATGTATAATACATAAGGGGGGTGTTAGGAATGGACTGGCCAGCAATGGTGGGACTCACCTGCCTTTTGATCTGCAGTACCAGGGCTGGCCAGCGGGTGCTCCCAGCAATCAGAGACTCAACCTTTCAGCCAGCTAACACACCTGGAACTGATGATGCTGGGGTATTTAAGGGATGGCCCTAGACCCACAGACTCTGCCTTGGTGTTGTGTTTGTCCTGGGCCCTGTATCTGTCCTGCATCCTGTTTCTGTCCCTCTGCCTGACCCTCTGTACTACGCTGCTTGTTACCTGTTTTGATCTCTGGCTTGTGACCCTGACCATCCCTCTGCCTGACCCTCTGTACTACGCTGCTTGCTACCTGCTGAACCTGGCCTGTGACCCCGACCATTCTCTGCTTGCTCCCCCTGTACCTACCTGCCCAATTGATATTGACCCGGCCTGCCTGACGACGCTTGCTTGTATGTACTGTTATCTGTGGGTGGTTTGGTTTGGTTTGTTTGCACTGTATTATGTTTAGTATTGCACTGCGTTTATGTTTGTATGGTTAGTGTTAATAAATTGTATTGTTTATCACATATCTGAAGTCTGCGTTTCCCTGCATCAGTCACACACCTCTGGTCATACCTGGGAGCCCTGACATTACACCAAGGCCAATCCTGACCAGAAGTGGCTGCACAGGGAAGCCATCTTGGCTGTTGATGGGAAGGATGGATCTTGATGAGGTTGAATATTTATATCTGCTAGTGTTTGATGACAGGGAGTATGCTTATCAAACTCTGAAGGAGTATACCCGGGAATGAACTGCTAGAATGTATACGGCTCGCTCATGTTCTAGTAGATCAGGGCACAGAGTTCTCTGAGGTGCAGCCTTTGATTGAGGTTTGTGCAGAGTTGGTTTCATCTGGTACCCCCGAATGCAGGGATGAATTTTTGCCACCATTTAGTGCAGACCAGGTAGAGTCCCTGGTGTGGTTATTAGAGGATGATGTGGGTTACTTTCTGGAGCGTTATTCCACATGTTCACCACAGGTACTAAGAGATTGTATAAACGCAGTACAGTCATTGACCAGACAGGCTTTGTGTAAGCTCAGCTTTGTTCAACCCATACTGCAGACATGGACAGACTTGTTGCACCCAGCCTCAGTCAGCTTACAAAAACCCAGTCCTGCTTCTAATCTATTTCCTCAAAACTCTATTCCTGCATTCCCAACAGCTCCTCCTGCCCTGCTATCTACCGCATGTCAGTACCCTGTTCCCACTCGCTGCACCTATCCTGCCTTTAACCCTGTAAAAGAGCCCTCTGTAGCAACTGCTCCCTCTCTTGTTCCATCCTCCAGTTCTTCTCTGTCTCCAGCTGCTCCATTCGTTTGCAGACCTGCGTTTACTTGCAGTGCTCCAGTAGTTAAAACCAGAAAAAAAGCGAAAATTCTTTCCAACCAATACCATCCTGCCAGTATCCAAACCGGTGAGCCTGCCTTCCGTGGTTCAGCCTGAAGCCTCTACTCAGCCTGAAGCCTCTACTCAGCCTGAAGCCTCTACTCAGCCTGATGCCTGTATGCAGCCTGATGCCTCTCTTCAGCCTGATGCCTGTATGCAGCCTGATGCCCTCTCTTCAGCCTGATGCCTCTACTCGGCCTGAAGCCTCTACTCGGCCTGATGCCTCTACTCGGCCTGATGCCTCTACTCGGCCTGAAGCCTCTACTCGGCCTGAAGCCTCTACTCGGCCTGATGCCTCTACTCGGCCTGATGCCTCTACTCGGCCTGATGCCTCTACTCGGCCTGAAGCCTCTACTCGGCCTGATGCCTCTACTCGGCCTGATGCCTCTACTCGGCCTGAAGCCTCTACTCGGCCTGATGCCTCTACTCGGCCTGAAGCCTCTACTCGGCCTGATGCCTCTACTCGGCCTGATGCCTCTACTCGGCCTGAAGCCTCTACTCGGCCTGATGCCTCTACTCGGCCTGAAGCCTCTACTCGGCCTGATGCCTCTACTCGGCCTGAAGCCTCTACTCGGCCTGATGCCTCTACTCGGCCTGATGCCTCTACTCGGCCTGAAGCCTCTACTCGGCCTGAAGCCTCTACTCGGCCTGAAGCCTCTACTCAGCCGGACGCCGGCATTCAGCCTGATGCCTCTACCCAGCATGATGAACTGATCCAGCCTGACGATCCTATTAGGCCAGTTGACTCGATGCCCGCTGTTGATCCAGATGATTCGGTACCTGATCCGGTGCCCGCTGTCGAGCCAAATGACCTGATGCCTGGTGACCCAGTGCCCGCTGTCATACCTGGTGACCCGATGCCCGCTGTCGAGCCAGACAATCCGGGTACCTGATGACCCGGTGCTCACTGTCGTGCCTGTTGACTCGGAGCCCACTGCCTTGCCAGATGACGCGGTGCCCGCTGTCGAGCCAAATGACCTGATGCCTGGTGACCCAGTGCCCGCTGTCCAGCCAGACGATCCAATGTCTGACCCAGTGCCCGCGGTCATACCAGTTGACTCGGAGCCCACGGTTGTGCCTGGTGACTCGGTGCCCGCCGCCCCGCCTGCCTGGGGCCTGAGACCTGTCGTTCCGCCTGGGGGTCCGCGCCCGCCACTCCGCCTGAGGGTCCGAGACCTGTCGCTCCGCCTGGGGGTCCGCGCGCGCCGCTGGAGGGTCCTGGGGGTCGCAGCGCCCGCTCCGCTTGAGGGCCCGGCCCGCCGCTCCGCCTGAGGGCCCGAGACCTGTCGCTCCTCCTGGGGGTCCGGCGCCCGCCGCTCCGCCTGAGGGCCCGAGACCTGTAGCTCCGCCTGGGGGTCCGGCGCCCGCCGCTCCGCCTGAGGGCCAGAGACCTGTCGCTCCGCCTGGGGGTCCGGCGCCCGCCGCTCCGCCCTGAGGGCCCGAGACCTGTCGCTCCGCCTGGGGGTCCGGCGCCCGCCCGCTCCGCCTGAGGGCCCGAGACCTGTCGCTCCGCCTGGGGGTCCGGCGCCCGCCGCTCCGCCTGAGGGCCCGAGACCTGTCGCTCCGCCTGGGGGTCCCGCGCCCCTGCCCCCCCGCCTGGGGGGCGCCCGCGATGCCTGAGACCTGTCGCCCGCCTGGGGGCACGATGCCTGTCGCCCCGCCTGGGAAGGCCCGGTGCATGGCGCCCCGCCCCGGGGGCCCGATGCCTGTCCGCCCCGCCCGGGGGCCCGATGCCTGCCGCCCCGCCCGGGGGCCCGATGCCTGCCGCCCCGCCCGGGGGCCCGGTGCCTGTCGCCCCGCCCCGGGGGGCCCGGTGCCTGCTGCTCCGCCCGGGGGCCGGTGCCTGCTGCCCCGCCCGGGGGCCCGGTCGCCCCGCCCGGGGGCCCGGTGCCTGCTGCTCCGCCCGGGGGCCCGGTGCCTGCTGCTCCGCCCGGGGGCCCGATGCATGTCGCCCCCCCGGGGGCCCGGTGCCTGCTGCTCCGCCGGGTGCCTGCCTCCGCCCGGGGGCCCGGTGCCTGCTGCTCCGCCCGGGGGCCCGGTGCCTGCTGCTTCGCCTGGTAATCCGATGTGCCTCTGCCCGGAGTCCTGCCCGATGTGCCTCTGCCCGGAGTCCTGCCCGATGTGCCTCTGCCCGGAGTCCTGCCCGATGTGCCTCTGCCCGATGTGCCTCTGCCCGGAGTCCTGCCCGATGTGCCTCTGCCGATGTGCCTCTGCCCGGTGTGTGCCTCTGCCCGTGTGCCTCTGCCCGGTGTGCCTCTGCCCGGTGTGCCTCTGCCCGGTGTGCCTCTGCCCGGAGTCCAGCCCGGTGTGCCGCTGCCCGGAGTCCTGCCCGGTGTGCCAGTCTTTGATATCCCGCCAGTTACCAGACCCGGGCGGTGGAACATTTTGCCCAGCTAGGACTGTTTGGAGCGTCCTGAGGCCGCTCCTTGGGGGGGGGGGTACTACTGTTAGGAATGGACTGGCCAGCAATGGTGGGACTCACCTGCCTTTTGATCTGCAGTACCAGGGCTGGCCAGCGGGTGCTCCCAGCAATCAGAGACTCAACCTTTCAGCCAGCTAACACCTGGAACTGATGATGCTGGGGTATTTAAGGGATGGCCAGACCCACAGACTCTGCCTTGGTGTTGTGTTTGTCCTGGGCCCTGTATCTGTCCTGCATCCTGTTTCTGTCCCTCTGCCTGACCCTCTGTACTACGCTGCTTGCTACCTGCTGAACCTGGCCTGTGACCCCGACCATTCTCTGCTTGCTCCCCCTGTACCTACCTGCCCAATTGATATTGACCCGGCCTGCCTGACGACGCTTGCTTGTATGTACTGTTATCTGTGGGTGGTTTGGTTTGGTTTGTTTGCACTGTATTATGTTTAGTATTGCACTGCGTTTATGTTTGTATGGTTAGTGTTAATAAATTGTATTGTTTATCACATATCTGAAGTCTGCGTTTCCCTGCATCAGTCACACACCTCTGGTCATACCTGGGAGCCCTGACAGGGGGATATGATCTCCATGTATAATGCATGAGGGGGGATATGATCACCATGTATAATACATGAGGGGGGATATGATCACCATGTATAATACATGAGGGGGGATATGATCTCCATGTATAATACATGAGGGGGGATATGATCACCATGTATAATACATAAGGGGGGATATGATCTCCATGTATAATACATAAGGGGGGATATGATCAACATGTATAATACATAAAGGGGGATATGATCACCATGTATAATACATAAGGGGGGATATGATAATCCATGTATAATATGATCACATAAGGGGGGGATATGATCACCATGTATAATACATAAGGGGGGGGGATATGATCTCCATGTATAATACATAAGGGGGATATGATCTCCATGTATAATAAATACATAAGGGGGGATATGATCACCATGTATAATACATAAGGGGGGATATGATCTCCATGTGTAATACATAAGGGGGGGGGGGGGATATGATCACCATGTATAATACATAAGGGGGGATATGATCACCATGTATAATACATAAGGGGGATATGATCTCCATGTATAATACATAAGGGGGATATGATCACCATGGGGGGAATATGATCTCCATGTATAATACATAAGGGGGGATATGATCACCATGTATAATACATAAGGGGGATATGATCACATGTATAATACATAAGGGGGGATATGATCTCCATGTATAATACATAAGGGGGGGATATGATCTCCATGTATAATACATAAGGGGGGATATGATCTCCATGTATAATACATAAGGGGGGATATGTATAATACATAAGATATGATCACCATGTATAATACATAAGGGGGGATATGATCACCATGTATAATACATAAGGGGGGATATGATCACCATGTATATGATCTCCATGTATAATACATAAGGGGGGGATATGATCTCCATGTATAATACATAAGGGGGGATATGATCTCTATGTATAATACATAAGGGGGATATGATCACCATGTATATGATCACCATGTATAATACATAAGGGGGGATATGATCTCCATGTATAAATACATCAGTGGTTCATATAGTGAACTCGGTGTAGAGTTATTCACCCTGAGGTCATCACAGAGGACAAGGGGGCTCTCTTTACATCTGGAGGAAAAGAAATGTAATCTCCAAACACGGAAAGGTTTCTTCACAGTGAGAGCTGAGAAAATGTGGAATAGACTCCCTCAAGAGTTGGTTCTGGTCAGCTCAGTGGATTGCTTTAAAAAATCCTGGATTCTTTCTTGGATACACAGAATATAACTGGATATAACATTTATAGGTAAAGTTGATCCAGGAATATCCGATTGTCTCTCGGGGGATCCGGAAGGAATTTTTTCCCCTGCAGGAGCAAATTGGATCGTGCTTTGCTGGGTTTTTTTTTGCCTTCCTCTGGATCAACTGTGGGTATAGGATTCTAACTTTTTTTTTTTTTTTTTTTTTTTTTAATGGTTGAACTGGATAGAATTTTGTCTTTTTTCAGCCAGACTATGTAACTATGTAACGTTCGGAATTATGTAAACATGGTAAAGCTTCTAAGAGATTTTAGTGTTTGGGTTTACATCTACTTTAACAAGTGACAATGCAATTAATATAATGTCTCAGTGCCTATATGACAGAGAATTAAATGAGTCTTAATGAAATTTGATGGCTGACATTAAGTAGTAACTGATCACCTTCCCACCAGGTTAAATATGCTGCACATCAATACCTCAACTTAGTCCCCAAACCCACTGGGAGTCTAAACTAAGTCTAGGAACCCAGCATTCTGAAACCTCATCATACATCAATCCCAAGGACCATCTCTGGAAACCCCAGACATTTGGCAACTCTGACTCCCGAGTCATATCCAGCCACTTTCCAACTATAGTCATAATAAATGAAAATTTGTATTTGTGCTACATGCTGCTTGAATCATACGGCCTCCACTTTTACTTGCTTTGTCATTTGGATGTCTCCAGTATTTTGCTCGGCTTGTAATTCAGATGAGTCAAACAAAAAGTTTTCATTATCCTGAAATTTTGAAAATATGGATATTTTGTGAAAAGTTCACCTTTTTCCCAGGAAATGCATTAGTCAAAGTCAGAGTCAAAGGGGAAGGTAAAATTAAGGTGGTTTGTGGTGTTGTTTAGGGCCCTTTCACATGGGTGGCATTGGTCATTGTGAATAGATTCCATAGTGAATTGGAAGTTTACTATTTTTACTGTTCTAATTTTACTATTCCATGTAGACAAAGATGGGAGACAGAGATTGATGTGTCCTTAGGGGAAACATGGGATCAAATATTACAGAATTGGTTTGAATATCCTCTACTCACAGAGTGACCCAGCTTTTCATTCTGTATAGGGCTTTTTGTACTCCGAAGCTGCTGCATAGGCTGGGCAGAAAAGAAAATCCTGAATGCGTAAGATGTGCTCAATCTCCTGGCTCCTTTATGCATCTGTTCTGGAGGTGCCCAAAATGATATCGGTATTAGAAGTGTTAGATATATTAAATTTTGTATATAATATTGCATTGATTCCAGATCACGTTCTATGTCTTTTGGGGTATGTAAATGATAATAATTTGGATCACGACCAGGAAGTTGCCGCTGTAAGATCACTTTTTATAGCTTGTAAGCTAATAGCCTCTTGTTGGGTCTCACCCAACCCTCTTATTCTCGGGAACTGGATCCAGGAAATGGATTACCATGTAACATTTGAAAAATATACTTCTGCTCAATGCAATGCCTCTTAGAAGTATGAGAGGGTGTGGAGCAAATGGATAGATGCATTGCGTTCCAGTTCTAACATTAATTCTAATTTATATTCAAGGTTGGGTATGTTCTTAGTTATTAGTAGAGTGGGATGGCCCGTCACAGAGAAGTCTCTATACATTACTTGCTCTGAAATATTATTTTTGAATATTTCTGAATATATTTGATTATTTTAGAATATCCTTGAATACCTCTGAAAAACAAATGGTAATGAACCAAACGTAAACATAAGG